CCATCTCTAATTCATCTACACTCATCATCTCCCCAACACATTCCAATGAAGCCTTTGTCCTCAAAACACCACCAAAGCTGTTCTCATCGAGGTCATCAGTGGCCTCCACATGGGTAAATCCACCACTCAATTCTCAGTCCTTCTCCTTCTTCAGCAGCATTTGACGCAGGTACTCACCCCTGATCCCTGATACACTCTGTTCACTTGGCTTCCAGGGTGTCCCTCTCTGGTCTCCTGTCTCCCTTGGCTTCTTTAGTTTGTCCCTATTCTCCCCAACCTCCTGCCCTAAAACTTGTTCACTTGTCCTCTTCTCCCTCTGTCTCTCCACATCCCTTAGGCTTCTCAACCAACTTCACGGCTTTACAAATGCTGGTGACTCTCAAATTTATATTTCCAGTCCAAGCTTCTCGTCTGAATGCCAATCTAACAATCTAATTCAACTGCTACTTGACAAGACCACTCAAATGTCTGTTAAGATGTCTCAAAACTTAACATACCCCAAACTGAACTGCTCCTACCCCTCAAAAGCCTGCTTCACCAGAAAACCTTTGCCATCTCAGTTGACGTCAACACTCTTCCTCCACTTTTCTCAGTACAAAAGCCTTAGAGCTATCCTTGACCTCTCTTATCCATAAAGTTTCCAGGTCTCGCCACAGCACTGCTGTGCCTGGGGCTGAGCCATGTTTCCCGCACCACGAGGTGACTGTGCTGGCCTGCTGCGCAGGGCTCCCGCTCCTCCTGCCATCCCCTACAGTGCAGCAGCTCCATGCAGAGCCAGCTTGACCTTGAAGTGGAAGATCTGACTTTTTCCAAAGCAAAAGCGTAAGGCCTCACAATGACTCCTGGGCCCTTCATGATCTGTCCCACCCACCCCAACACCCCCGTCCTGCTCCACATCCCTCTCAGCCTGCTACATGTGACCCTGGTCAGCCCTCCTATAGTGGATTGAATTATGTCTCCCCAAAACTCATTGGAGCTTGAACTGTTCCCCAAGTTTTATGTATTGGAAACTTAGCCCCCACTGTGACTGTTAAGAGGGTGGGAAATCCTATTATGGTAGTTGAAAGGTGGAGCCTTGAAGAGGTGAATGGATTAAAAATGTGGTCAGGGGCATGGTTCTGAGGCATTTAAAGAACAGGAGAGTCTGTCTCTCTCTCTCTCTCTCTGCTCTCTCTGCTTCTACCACCTTGCAATGTGAGACCCCTGGGTCACTGATGCCAGATGGACTTCGGACTTCCCAGCCTCAGAAACTGTGAGCAATAAATTTCATTTTTCTTTATAAATTACCCAGTTCCAAGTACTTTGTTATAGCAACACAAAACAGACTAATAACACCTCCCATGGGCTGCTTACTGCCACTGAGGGCCTTACTCTAGGTGTTCCCACTGCCTGGAACGCTCTCCTCCCTGCCCAGCCACCTGGCTCACTCTCTCACCTTCTCCGGTTTTTACTCAAATACCACCTCTGCAATGAGGCTTAATCTGTACACCTCTCTCCACCCTCTCGCCACCATCACTCCCAATTCCTTGCCATGCCATGTTTTTTTTTTTTCCAAGCACTCATCTTTTGACCTACTAGATAACCTATTTATTATGTTCACTATGTCCTCCTCCAGTAGACTATAAACTCCACAAGGACAAAGATCTTTATCTGTGTTAATCATTAATGCATCGCATACACCTGTCACAGTAACTAGCATATACTGGACATTCAGTAAATATTTGTTAATGAAAGAACAAGTGAATGAAAACAAAGAACACCTGGGAGAGAGATTCTCTGTTACTAACAACAAGACTGACATCTGATGAGTTAGATAGACTTTTACAAAGGATAAGAGTACAGCTGGCTGGTTAGCTCAATTGCTTAAAGTGTAGCCCTATAACCCCAAGGTCAGGGGTTTGGATCCCTGTACTGGCCAGCTGCCAGAAAAAAAAAGTGAGTGCCAAGTCACTCTGAGGCTCTGAAACCACGCCCCCAGGAGCACCAACGTCTGTGAGCTGAAACAAGGCTTTCTACCACGCAACTCAAATATGGAAGCTGTTTGAATAACAGGAAACTTCAGTTCATGGACAGAATTTTCTTAATTTAACATTTTTCTTATACTTTTAGTGTCTACCCCTAGCTTTTACTAAAATAAAGTATAAGATGTATCTGACAACACCAAATCTCAATACTAACTATTTCATAGTATTTCATAAGAAGACCACGATGTCCAGACTTTCTGCAACCTGGACAAGACTGAGAACCTCTGAGTTCCTACGGCACATATGGAACAATACAAAATGAGACACAGAAAGGAAATTAAGGGGATGCCGAGTGGTTTTGACTAGAAGAATAAAAAACTAATAAAAGGTAGGAGCTGATAAAAGTATTGAAACAAAAAAAAAAAAAAAAAAAAAAGGAAGACTTGAAAATAGAGGGGATTAGCAGAATCACCCTTCTCAAGTCCTGAATTTTAAGTCCAACAGGGCCTTTAGTGCCTACTTATTCCCTTGGCAATCCACGCAACCTCTGTCCATTTATTCAATGGAATCACACCTGTCTCTGCGGAAACAAAAGTACTGCAGACACCCAGGAGTACAAGCAGCCTAGGTTGTTCTGTGCCTGCACCTTCCCTTCCTGATGCTGGAGGTGAAGGGTGAGGTACGGGCACAGGCGAGTCCTCCACGAGCACCCTGGCCTTGTGGCAGGCCTGGGAAAGAGGAGGACAGCAGCATGCAGTGCCCCTGTGCCCAGTTCTCCTGAGGATCCCAAGTGTCACTGCGGAAAGTAAAGCCAGGGCACCATGGCAAAGGCCAGCCACACCCTTCCTCTTTCATGGCACACATACTCTCCAGAGGGACAGGATGCAATGACAGGCTCCTGCTACCTCCTCAAAGGGTTTTGTGATTTCATCCTGATGACTGAAGACCAGGAGAAACATGTCCAAATTTAGGTGAAAATATGTGCGTTCCAAGACTAAATTACCCTGAAATTTGGCTCTTCTTCCCTTTCTTATAGAGATATATATAAACACAAATTCAGCATGTTTATATACAAATTCAGCAGACAGCTATTTGCAGACTTTCAGAGCTAAAAACTGATGCACTATACAAACTAATTTGTAGACATTATTAAAAATCTCTGAAGAATTTTCATACACAAAGAGGCATCTGGAGACAGCTGTGGACAACGCACAATGGAAATCAGGGTTTCCCTTCCAGGGTGGCACCTGATTGAAAAGTAGTGCAGACAGTCTCACTGCACTTAATCTTCCACACTCAGCTTACACACTTGTGACCACAAAATTCCCAGAATACATGTATGTCAAATGTCACACCAGACAGGAATAACACATTCCTTCAGTACAGTATTTTATCTCCTCAGCTCATTTAATTTATGCAACAAAACAATAAATGGTGACCACTTTTAATTCATCTGCAATAAAAGCTTTAGAACCCCAACTAAGAAAACTCCCCTCCCCCAGCCTTCTTTTTTGGAGGGGGAGAGACTAAAGTGCTACTGGGCAAATTTTACAAAATTCTGGCTATTGTTAGGAAACATAATGGGTTCTCCTATCTCTAAGACCCTCTACTCCAATACCTGGGTATTTCCACCCATCAAGAACACGGAAAGTGGGAAAGGGGCACTGGGTAAGGGACACAAAGAGTAATTATAATTCGTAATGATGAACATGCTAATAATATTGGTTTGACCACATGCTGTACATAAATACTTATAGTTAACTCTGTACTCCATAAATATGTATAATCATAAATAAATGAATAAATATGTAAAAGAAAATGGTACATCATTAAAAAAAAAAAAACACATACTAGTCAGCAGTTATGTCAGAAAAACCAGCTAAGATATACCAATTTTAAGACTATTACAAATCTTCCTGTTGAGTCAACTCTTATTATTCTAAATACTCATGCCCAAACAGAAACCCAAAAAGCAACATTTCTGCTAGACAACTACTCACTTTGAAACTGTTTGGATGATGAAAACATCTTTTCCTCTCACGGACTCTTGAATTTGTACTCTTGTTTCTGGAAGGAAAAGGAAAAGCAGGGAGAGGAAGGCATACTGTTCAAATTTTTTAAAATACATAAAAAAATCTACATTATTCCTCAATGTTACAAAATATGGAAACTGAAACTTACAAAACTCAGTAGCCTTCCAATGTTGATGAATGATAAACATACTGCCATTAATTGCACTTTTTAAACACATTCAGTCACATGAAGGCCTTAAGATGGAATTACACTCTGACTTCAAATAAGTAAATCTACACTTCTCACACTCACATACATAAGCAGTGAGTGCCGCACCACTCTGAGCACAGTATCTTTACAGAAAATTATGTGCTCATTCATTTCATCAGCATCAACTGAGAACTTATTAGGCAAAAAATGTTTTATGTTGTGAGAGCAAAGACAAATAAAACCCAATATCTTTACTATCAAAAAATTTGTGACCAGCTACAAGAATACAATTGCACAAATCCAAGATGGGACATTCTATAGGACAACCTCTTCAATAGTCAATGTCATAGGAAGAGAAAAGAACAGGTGAGAGGACTGTTCTAGATCAGAAGAGACTAAAAAGATATTAAGAAAATATTACTTGAACTAAGAATCTTGATTTGGGGCCGGCCCAGTGGCGCACTGGAGGGTGCGCTGCTTGGGAGCGCGGCGGCGCTCCCGCCGAGGGTTCGGATCCCACGTGGAGACCGGTTCCCGCTCACTGGCCAAACGCGGTGCGGACGCAACACCGAGGGTTGCGATCCCGTTGCCGGTCCCCAGTACGGGCGCGACACCGCGGGTTGCAATCCCGTTACCGGTGAGTAAAAAAGAAAAAAAGGAAAAAAAAAAAAGAATCTTGATTTGGAGGAAAAAAAATTGCTATATAAGACCCTTTAGGACAACTGGGGAAATGTGAATATAGACTGGATATTAGACAATTAAAAACTATTGTTAATTTCTCTAAATGTGACAATGGCATTATATTTATGTAGGAGAAAGTATTTACTCTTAGGAGATGCATGGTCAAGTACTCAGGAGTTAAGAGTCTTGACATCTGCAGCTTTCAACTGGTTCTACACATACATATTCATATGGCAAAATATTAACTGCTGAACCTAGGTGGTAGATAACATATGGGTATTCACATACTACTCTTTCAAATTTCTTGAATGTTTGAACATTCTCATTAAAAATGTTAGAAAAAAACAGAATGCATGTTTACAAAAGAATGGGATATGATGTTAAGAAAATGAGCTTTAGAGTCAAGGAGATCTGGATTCAAACCCTGACTCTTCTACTTCTGGGACCTCATACGTAACATCATCCCTGAACTCCGCTTTTCAGTAGCTGGTGAGGAATCCACAAACGTAAGTTCCCACCTTCCTCGTCAATAGACACAAGTATCTTCCCTCCCTTCATTCATAAACCTGGAGAGACTCAAGTTCCTTCTGAGTCTCACACAGCTGGTTCCCCCCTTAAGTCCTCCCTTCCAGACTCCAGACAAAGGACATCATCCAACTCCCTTTAAAGGCAGAATCTTCTCCAAACACTTCCTGCACAGTTTCTTCAATTATGTTTTTTCCCTACTGAAGCCACATGGGGATCTTGGGAGACGGAAAGGGGAGGCAGTAATGGAGAAATAAATAGGGGAACATCAAACTTGTGTCTTTGTATCAAAGCCCTCCTGTAAGCTTTATAATATTTAAATACTTGACAAAATCCTGTAGTGGAAATTGAGAAGGAATGAGTTTACTGAGCACCTATTATGTGCCAAGAACGGCATTAGGCACACAAATTATCCCATTTAATCCTCAAAAGAGTCCTAATTATTGACAGTTTAGAAAGGTTAATAACTTGCCAAGAATAAGCTGCATGACTCTCAAGCCCACACAAGCTGTTCATTGCTCTTGCTAGAATAATTTCAAATATCCACCATTTCTAAAGAAATTACAAAGATTAAATAACACAATTTTTACAACTTGGAATGATTATGTACAGTAGTCCCCCCTTATCCGTGGTTTAGCTTTCCATGGTTTCAGTTACCCATGGTCAACTGTGGTTCAAAAATATTAAATGGTATATTCCAGAAACAAACAATTCATAAGTTTTAAATTATACATCATTCTGAGTAGCATAATGAAATCTTATACCATCTGGCTCAGTCCTGCCCAGGATGTGAATCATCCCTTTGTCCAGCACATCAATGTTATAAACCTAGGCTACCCACCCTATACAATGTAATTATATAGGAAAAAAATATAGTATATATAAGGTTTGGTACTATCCACGGTTTCAGGCATCCACTGGGGGTCTTGGGACATATTCCCCATGGATAAGGGGGGACACTACTGTAATGACATAAATCAGTTAGCAAAAAGTATTTCCTAACAAGATTTCATGAAGTCTAACCCACGGCAGCCTAGGTGGAAGAATAATCAACTAAAACTGCGGCCACACAGGATTTACTCACACTGCCTAAGGTAACACAAATTTGACCAACAACTGAGCCAATGTTTTCATTCAGTTGACCAGCTGGCCCATATATTTACGCAGTTTTTATTGAATGAGGTCTAAGAACTGGAGTTTAAGCCCCCAGACGTGACTTGCACCAGGGTTATATGAGAAGTCTTCAAAGAGTTCAAGAACAATTCATATTATCTTTTCATTCTATTTTTTCATGAACTTTCTGAGGTACCCTCACATATCTAGTTGGAATTAGTGACAGCTAAAACACTACTCTCTTCCACCTTGCCTGCCTGACTTCCTGCTAATGGAACTAACTGGACAACTGAATCAAATCTTCCTAACAGTGGAGGATGAAGCACTGAGTCGACCACATTTCACAAAAAGATCAATGATACACATGTCCAGGACAGCTCACCTCTGTTAGGTTCCTGGTAAACCTGCACTTTGCCCATCTCCACCCCCAGCCGCCTAGAGAAGAGAAAGAGGAAAAAGCTGAAAAGGTAATAGAATAGACCCAATATCTTTACTATTTAGGGATGACTCATAAATTGATAAAAGTAAAATAAAATAAAGTTATTCTTATAAACTTTAAAGTCAACACTATATTGTTATGTCAGTTCATTCCCTGGTCCCCTTATCCCCAGCCCAGGCCTACATAGTCTGGCTCTGCCTGCCCCACAGACCACCGTTCTGGGGTTCCTGCACTCTCAGCCACATCCTGAAGCGCAACAACGCCACCTCCTGCGCACCAAAGGATCAGAGTGGGTTTCCTGCACTCTCAGCCACATCCTGAAGCGCAACAACGCCACCTCCTGCGCACCAAAGGATCTTGGCCCCTGCTGCTCCCTCTGCCTGCAGTGCCCTTCCTGAGACCTTCACTTGGCGGCTCACTCAGGTTTCTCCATCCATGTACCATCCCTTCAATTTGAAAGGCACCTGAGCACCAGCCAAAGCAGAACAACTGCCCCATTGTTACTGTCATCCTGTTTTATTCTAGCATTTATCACCATCTCAAATTACCTTGTTTTGTTGACTTGGTTCTTATCTGGCTCCCATGCTACAATGAAAATTTCATAAGAAGGAAGGATCTTAACTGGTTTGCTCAACCCCCAACATGTAGATAAAGGCCCCATACATAGTAGGAGCTCAGTATTTGTTTAAGAAGTATCTAAAATTCTACTGAACTATAACCTATAAAACTATTACCATATAGTATACACTTCACTGTTCTTCATACTCAAATAAGTCTATATATATGTAGCACCTAACACAACCTCTGGCACCTATGAGGCATTCAATAAATGTCTGCTAAATGAATATGTAGGGAGTTGTGACAGTTTACAAAGAGATTAGCCCTTAATAACACAGATCATACACAGATAAACTATAAAATATCCACTTTCAGATTTAACAATCACTGCTAATCCAATTATCAATTTTATTTATTTATTTGTTTATTTTAGGAGAGTCAAGTGAAGCAGTGGGAGTGGAGAAGGAACAAAGAAATCTGTAACTGGTTGTAATCAAATTTGTTTGTTTATTTTAGGAGAGTCAAGCGAAGCAGTGGGAGTGGAGAAGGAACAAAGAAATCTGTAACTGGTTGTAATAAATTAGTTATACACTGATTATCAAATTTAAAACATCACATAATAAATATATGTTTTAATGGTACAATTATAACTTACTCAGCAATTTTCTTTGAAAGCTCCATACAAGATGAATTAGAATTTGCTGAAAACAACACCAGACCTCCTTTAGTTACGTTCATCTTGGTTTCTAATTCAGGTGGCGCCACACAAAACATCAAAACCTTCTTGGTTTTCCAATTCTCAGAGCCTAGAAGGATACAAAATATATATTAAGAACTGCCATATGACAGTAATATATACCTGAATGGATATTTTTTTTTTAATAGCAAATGACTTAAGCTGAAGAAAATTAGTTTTCTCCATAATGGTGTCTTTTATGTGTTCTATGAATTCACACACATACACTCGTAGACATATACAAGGGTACCTCAAATAGCTTGTGGAAAAATAGAATTGAAAGATAGCATGAACCTTTCTACGAACTTTTTAAAGTACCCTCACACAGACAAATAGAAAGTCATTTAGATTTTAGGGTTCCAGATTTATGGAAATATGTTATCACATGACAGTTTTCATAACCACTGGGAATAAACAATAAACTTACAAGAAAGGCGGAGCTGAAGAGCCCAGTGTTTTACTGTCTGCTGCTTAATGTCAATTATGGACAACCTCCTTTTATTCTCTGACAACAAAATTCCTCCTGGATTAACACACAGAAAAATGGCAGAGCCATTAGCAAGGGTATGGACTGATCGATCCTTAAACAAAGAATGAGTGACCCATCTACACCCAGCTTTTCCTGCAACCCCTGTTCACCACAAAACCTCCCCCTGGCCTTTCAGCTGCCTCTCAGATGCCCTGTGTTATGTCTAGAACTGACCTTGGCATCTTCATTTTCCTCAACTGGAACACAAGGTTACCCTTAAGGAAAGTTAAGTGACCACCCACATGAAAGGCAGCAGGGCACAAATAAAAAGGACCCTGGTCCAGAAGTCATCAGAGCTAAGGTTCTCATCCCCTGCACTCTGGGCTGAGTGCCTTCCCCATGCCAGGAGGGTGCTGGACTGGATGGAAGAGCAGGCTGGGGTGGGACACCATCCCAGCAAGCCTTTTGCATTTCCTCAGTCATATGTTTACTTGTGATGGCTCTGGGAAGGCTGGTGGAGATTATAATTGGGCAGAAATTGAGCTGATCTTTTTTGTCATCCTTAAATGTTAATTACACGAGTAATACACAAACACATACTCCTTATAAAAACCCGAAACATGATAGTTAAGGCTAAAGTCACTAGCCCCAATCCCAGGCTCCTCACCAGAAGTGAGGGTTCTCTTTAGTTTGATATGGACTCTTTCAGGCCTTTTCTATAATTCACACACGTGACCATCCTAAAAACTACGTACAAAAAAATACGTTTCTAGAAAACAACAAAAAAAGATTTTAAAATACGTTTCCAATAAAAAGGTATCATCTTACACATCTATAACTTGTTTTGCTAAGCAATATATTTTGAAAATCTGGGTTAGAAAATTACAGACCTATTTTTCCCTTCTAACTGCTGCCTAGTCTTCCACAGCATGGATATGTCGCTTTTGGCCAGGTCACCATCCTCGACAAGCCTCATTGTACGCACACGTGCAGTGGAACTGCTGGGTCACAGGTAGTGCAGCTCACAGTCCCTGCAACAGGCTAGGACAGCACACTTCCCACAGAGCACCTCTTAAGAGGCTTTCCAGCTCAGACAACCCAAGATTCCACAAATGGAAACACAGCAGAGTACAACACACTTTACCTTATTAAGCCTATGGACTACAAACAGAAACCTACGCACAATTGACCCTAAACAGACCAAGGAGGACCACCAGAGTCTACCATGGAAAGTGGCTTTGGAGCAGGGATCTGCAAACTACAACCCAAGGGCCAAATGAGGTCTCTCCAAAGCCTGCTTTTGTACAACACAGCCACACTCATTTGTTTACAAACTGTCTCTAGATACAATGATATGCAACTGGCAGGTTAGCTCAGTTGGTTAGAGCGTGGGGTTGATAACACCAAGGTCCCAGATTCAATCCCTGCACCAGTGTTCAATCCCTGTCAGCCGTGGGGCAGGGGAAGATACAATGATATAGTTGAGTATGGCCTGCAAAGCCCAAAATATTTATTATCTGGCCCCTGCTTTACAAGAGAGTGTTCAATCCCTGCACCAGTGTTCAATCCCTGTCAGCCGTGGGGCAGGGGAAGATACAATGATACAGTTGAGTATGGCCTGCAAAGCCCAAAATATTTATTATCTGGCCCCTGCTTTACAAGAGAGTACAGATCTAGAAAGGCTAATGAGAATCGGGCTGTTTAATCATCAGCAATCAGAGATGGAAAGGATCTTAAATGTCTTTTAACACCATCTCTCAACCAATATATGTCTGTGTTTAGGAACAGATGGCACAGACCCAGGAAGGGAAACAAAAACAAAACTAAGTCCCCTGTAGTTATAAACACACGCTTTGGAGTCAAACTTGCATCTTGGCTCCTACTTCCCCTTAACTCACTGAGAGGCCTTGCATAAAGTTACTTAAAATCTCCTAGCCTTGGGCCGGCCCGGTGGCGCACTCTGTAGAGTGCGGCACTTGGGAGTGTGGCGGCGCTCCCGCTGAGGGGTCGGATCCCATATAGAGACTGGTCCGCTCACTGGTTGAGCGCGGTGCGGGCGTGACACCAAGGGTTGCGATCCCGTTACCGGTCACGAAAAAAAGACAAAAAGGAAAAAAAAAAAATCTCCTAGCCTTAATTCTCTCATCCATGCAACTGTGAAAACTGACCTCACAGGGTTACTGGAAAATTTCTGCACTTAACCCAGTGCCCTGCATATAGAACATGCTACATATGAATCAACTTCTATTATCTTGGTTATCTACCAAACAAGTACATTAAAATATGCATGGGGGGCATCTTTTTACATCCCCTAACCTTCAAATAAGAAGCTCCTTAAAGTATAACAGTGTTCTTGAGAGGACTTGGAAAACTTAGAATGAAAGCATTTTAGGGGCAGGAAGAGATTTTAGCTGTAATTCAGGCCACCTCTCCTAAATTTGTTGTTAGAAGTCCATCTGAAGGATTCCTGCTATTCCTTGAATAGCCCCAGAGCCTGATCCCCATACCCACCATTCCAGATTATCCCTTAAAACACGCTGAGGTTCATGGGCCGGCCCAGTGGCGCACTCAGTCCACAGAAACATATCGTCAGAATGGGGCTGGCAGGAGGCTCATCAGTACAAAGTTTAGTGTGAAATGTAGAGAGAATGTTCCCATATCCTCCCCCTGGGCTACAGGTGCTTTTATGCTTATCCTGAATTTCCTCTAGAAGGCAGAAGAATCATTTATAACATATATGAGAACAACTCATTTTCAGAGAATCTCAGCACCTTTTAAACAGCAAATCACATTCCTCTTTAAATGAGATTTGAGAATCAGTTAAGTCTCATGATTGAAATCACATTGAAAAAGATCACTTGCTTTGGACAGACTAACAGTCATTTCAAAACCACTCATCCATATTTCAGAGGAGGAAGAATCACATTAAAGTATGCTGTTGGGGCTGGCAGGTTACTCAGCAGGTTGGAGCACAGCCTTATAAGACTAAGGTCACAGGTTCGGATCCCCTTATTGGCCAGCAGTCCAAATAAATAAATAAATAAACAAAAATAAAGTGTGCTGGTTTCCTTCTACAGCTTCCCCCATGTAAACACTTTCTATCCAAAGGTGGCTGGAGTAGGTATGTGAAGATTTGGGTTTGCCTCCCACAGTTTCTAGCTGCCAGGCCTTGGCCACATCCCTTGGCCTTGCTGAGCCTCAGCCTTTACCTTCCAGACAACAGAGATAGAAGCTTGCTAAAAAAGCTTTCCCTACCAGAATTTAAGGTCCAGGCAGCAGAGATTTTTTTTTACTGTTACATTCTCTGCTGTATACGCAGTGCCCAGAACGGCACCTGGCACATGGGAGGCTCAGCAAATGTCTGTTAAATAAAGCCTGACCTCATTGAGTTGCAATGATTAACAAATGGAATTGAAAGTCGTTTGTAAACTAAAAAGCATAGACATAAAGGATTATTTTTATTAGTGATATACCTCACTCCAAGAAAATTTCCTTTTTCATATCAATATTGAGGAGAATTTTAAAGGCAAAATCTAAATCGAATTACTCTTCACTGTGACCTCAGGCACTTTTCTCATCTCTCCATCAGAAAGAACATTTTCTTACAGTTAACGCAACGTCTTCTGAATGCTCTGAATTCTTATGACAAGCAGGTCATAACTCAAGGCTGCATAGCCTCTCCATAGCTCGGTCTCAGTCTGATTTACAGAAGAGTTTGCACAGCCTGTCTCTTAACCCACACAGAAAACGACCGGACATCCCACCGAATCCCACTTACAGTGAGAAGAAACATCCAGATTTTGTCTACTGTCATATCTACCCAAGAAAGAATACAGAACTTTGATCCACTTCTGGGAATTTATCCCAGGGAAAGAAGGAAAAAGCTATATGCTTAAGGATGGGTCACTGCAAGATTTTTTTGAGGGCAAGAATACTGGACATATGTACAGGCTCCGCAAAGGGATAATTAAGTAAAATGCAGAACATACATTCGATACAATATTCAACACTATACAAAAGTACTTATGAATATTAACTGAAACGAGCAGAAATGCATCTCTTCTAATTACAACTGGATCATGGTACAGACCAGGACAGGAAAGAAATACGGACAAGAAGTGTAGGCTTTAGTGGGGTTCAATAATGCGGATGAATTATTTTTATTGGTGCATTTAAATTTTTTAAACACTAGAGATCACACTTCCTCACACCCCAAAGCCCCGTCCCATATTTTCATATTCCTTACAAAAGCTAAACACCTAAATTTCGGCAATATTAAAATAATCATTAATGTAATTAATCACTAGTGTAATATCATTAATGTAATATCGGGGCAAGGCATTTTAAAGTAAAATAATACCTAAAAATTACATCGCGGTCCTCCTCAGCCTTCGCTGGGGTGAGCTCGGGGTGGAACAACATCACCCTTTTTGGGGCATGAGAAACGTCCGCGACTAGCAAGGCCGAGCAAATCAAAACGAGGCCAGGCCAGGGCTGGGAGCGGGCTGGGCCGGGCTCGTTTTCTGGGCTGCTCAGCCGCGGATCCCGCAGTGAGGCTCGACTCCCGCGCGCCAGGCCACCGCCCCGGCCCGCCCCAGCCCGCCGAGCAAGGCGGAGGGAC